ATGGGTGTGTGTGTGCTGGATGATAGGTGTGTGTGTGTGTGCTGGATGATGTGTGTGTGAGTGCTGGATTATGGGTGTGTGAGTGCGCGCTGGATGACGTGTGTGCGCGCGCTGGATGACGTGTGTGTGCGCGCTGGATGACGTGTGTGTGAGTGCTGGATGACGTGTGTGTGAGTGCTGGATGATGTGTGTGTGTGTGCTGAATGATGTGTGTGTGTGTGTGTGTGTGCTGAATGATGTGTGTGTGAGTGCTGGATGATGTGTGTGTGTGTGAGTGCTGGATGATGTGTGAGTGCTGGATGATGTGTGTTTGAGTGAGTGATGGATGATGGGTGTGTGAGTGCTGGATGATGTGTGTGTGTGCTGGATGATGGGTGTGTGAGTGCTGGATGATGGGTGTGTGAGTGCTGGATGATGGGTGTGTGTGTGCTGGATGATGGGTGTGTGAGTGCTGGATGATGTGTGGGGGGGGGGAGAAGCATTTTTTCTTACTTTATGTGTTTATATTTGTTTATTTTATTCCCCCCTCCCTGCTTCTTACCTTGTCAGGGAGGGGGGAGATCGCCTGGTGGTCCGGTGGTATGCTGGAGGGAGCCAGCCGCTGCACAGAGGGGCCATCACACGCTGTGTTCCCTCTCCAGCTCTAACTCTCGCGAGACTCGCCTGTGCGGAGCGCTGCCATGGTAACAGCCGCGGGTCTCGCGAGAGTTATAGCTGGAGAGGGAACACAGCGTGTGCTGGCCCCTCTGTGCAGGTAGCAGGGCCGGTCCTGCAGGACAGGTAACGGGAACGGCGTTCCTGCTTTGGAAAAAGTGCAGGAACGCCGTTCCCATGCGTTCCTGCAGGACTCGAGCCCTGCGCTACATCCCACAAATGATTATCCCTATACACTACATTCCATAAGAACACACATTACATCCTCTACAATAACACATCCTCTCCACACATACACTCCACTCCCTGTGAGCGAACTCATGAATGGGCCATGTAGGTGACTTATGGGCATACTCGCGGTCAGGCCCTGGGGGCCCCAGACCTTGAGCTGTGTAAGGGGCCCCCAAAAAAATGGAGCGGCTTCCTGTTCATTGATTTTGGTGAGAACTGTTACAGTCTATAGAGAGCCTCTTCTACACCAGATCAGTGGAGCCCAACTGCAGCCTGAGCCCATCATCATCCTCTTGTCCTCATATGGTGGTAAGTAGGCAATCCAGTATATTATTAGTGACACTCATCTCTAATTTACCTCACATTAAAAGGGCCACTACAGCTTAGTGTGGTGGTTCTGGTTTCTATAGCCTGTCCCTGCAAGCTTTTTAATGTAAACACACTGCCTTTTCAGACAATAGACTGTGTGCAGAACTGGCGTTGGCCCCTATGGCAGATTATGTGGGTGAGGGATTGTGATGTCACATGGTGGGCAGAACATATGCGGCAGCAAATTTTAGTTTGCCTAGGGCGGCAAAAATCCTTGCACCAGCCCTGCTATCTCACCTTGTCAAAGAGACAAGGCCATGATCATGAAATGACATAGCCTTGGCTTGTCCATAGCCTTAATCAGTCTGTTGTCATAACCGAGACCGCTTATCTAGGTTTAGACCACAACTTAAGGTTGTACATGAAGTAGGCAATGCCTTGACATGGTGTCACATTAACTTGGGACAAAATGGCGTCTTAAAAAGTCTAAACATCTTTACGTATCTGGGTAAGACGCCAGTTTGATAAGTAAAAACATAGAAATGGAAAATATTTTTCATACAAACTGGTCGGTTTGTAAAATCTTAATCTAAATCTTAAAGGCACAGTTTAAGAAACAACTTTTCATTCAAAAACTTCAATATCTGATAATGCCCATAACAAAAAGGAGAGACACAAATCAGCTGAGTTTTAATAGTATAAATAATTTTTTAAAAACCACACACCACAATCGTTAAGAAAACCTTTATACTAAACATCTAACCTGAAATGCTCTGTAAGTTTCTCATAATTTTCCTTGTATGCCAGCAGTTGAATCAATGAATCAAAAGCCACTTTCATTGTTTTGGGACAAGTAGAACGGTTTCTAGCCAATGAGGCCAATGAGGCCTGTACCACTTCCAAGTATTCTGAATAAAAAGAGAAAAAAACATTTTAAAAAAAATCTTGCATGTGAAACATTGTAGCAGGAAATCTCATTCTGTAATCTAATAGTCTCAATAAATTGATAAATCACTTTGCCACAGATTCCATATTGAGACTAGAGGAACAATTCAAGCTCCTATGAGTAGACTTCCCCCCCTTTTTCTTATAACTATCGGAAAATTGACCATTTCAAATTTCCCCCATAACCTGAACTTTTGTTATAGAAACTCAAATCACTTAAGTGGTCATGGTGCTTGGAATAACCCTTTAACATTTACTAGGATAGACAGATTTAAGGATTTTCACTTGCTGGGATTCCCAACCTCTTTGTGTTCTAGGATACCCAATTGCTTTATATATTTGATTTAGGATATTGACCACATTTTCTTATACATTACTATTCAAGCACGGTCGCTCTAGGAAGCTTTCATGTTGCTGTGTCATTTTCATTTATTTCTCATTGTCTCTTATGAACTTTATTTACAATAGTTAAAGGAGCACTATAGGGTCAGGAACACAAACATATTCCTGACCCTATAGTGTTAAAGACACTATCTAGCCCCCATGGTACCCTCTTAATATAGTAAAATCTTACCTTTATTCCAGTCAGCTTGTGTTGACTCTGCCTCTGATATGCCTCCTTGGCTGACATCAGAAGTGATGATCTCAGCCAACCACAATCTTTCAAAGGAAAACATTGGATTGGCTGAGATTGCCAAGGAGGCAGGCTAGGGGTGGCGCCAAACACCAACCTGGCTAATCAGCATCTACTAACATATGCATTGAATCAATGCATCCCTATGAGGATAGTTCAGTGTCTCCACCCTCTGCATGGTGTGTGCAGCACTGCCCCAGGAACACCTCTAAGCCATCTGAGGAGTGGCCAATAGAGTTATCACTACGCTGCATTTTATTGTAAAAAAGACAGGGTTTATTGCAAAAGGCCTGTACTTACCAGAACAAAAACTAAAGATGTAGTGGTTTTGGTTAATAAAATACTGTTAACAGTGATACAGCAATATTGCAACCCTCTTGTGAAGAATATATATACGCATATACACACACACCATTCTACAGTAATTTTATGTCCACTCAGCACGATTAATACAACTGCTAGTTTTTTTTTGTTTGTTTTTTTGCTTGTCTAAGCAAGACACGGTTTTGTCTCATCTGTTTAAACATGTGTATTAGATGATGATGATTAAAAGCTGCTCAGTAATGTTTATTTTTAGCAAAATAAAATTCTTTAACAGTGTCTGGCTACCGAGGCAGTTTACCAAACTGGGAAATGCTGGAAACAGTGCAAAGAATTGCAATGTTTAGGACAAATAACAGATTCAGAAGGTTTTAAATTCAGCTTTTTAGGTTGAAGATATATTTTTTTTTTTTTTTTTGCATGTACCATTTAAAAATAAAAAATGTGGAACACTATTTTACAGCCTTTTGCTTAGTGTTCAATGGGATTCATAAAGAATGTTAAAATTCTCAAGCATTGGAAGTTGTTCCCCTCCACACAGCTCACAATGTTTAACTTAAAGGGACACTTTTGGCAACAACACAACTTGGGCATTTGATGGGTTTTGGCCTGATTAATATGCTGTATTTTGTATGGTCAAATCTTTATGCAAGATATTTGTTTTGGGGGTGGGGGATTATTGCAGAATGTTGCATCATAAGCCTGCCTCTTTAGCCACACCCATTCATGTCAGAAATACTTCCTTTTTCCAATGTACACACAAAGTTCAACCTCAACAGCACTGAGTGAGTTTTTTTTTTTTTTTTTTTTACTTTCTAACCTGGCTGCAAACAGTCAGTGAAATCACAAACTGTACCTTCAGTACATACATTAGATAGGGAAGTATTTTTCTGAAGAGAGGGGGTGTGGCTAAGTAGGCAGGCATTGGTGCCATTTTCAGTCAGCACATTCGGACTGCAAATATTGTAACTAAAACAGCCTTTTGGCATCATTTATTTCCATGGTCTTGCACCCCTAAAAACTACTCTCTACAGAGGGATTTTACTATTCCCCCTCTCGATAAGTTTATCATATCTCATTGTGGTACTCACTGGCTATGCAGCTATTCGATCTACTATATACACCCTTAATTACCAGCTATTTAGCTGGGTTACAGGATCCTGTTTTGCATACATCGCCATTTTCTAGGGTTTGTCAATTTTAATTAGAAGGTAAAAAAAAGGGTAAGTTTCAATCACACGGTTTATATAATATAGGGGTATTTTGCACTCCCATAGAACACTGACTTATAGCGCCGCCCCCGTGCATGCTGGAGTCTGTGGGTAGCACGTGGCGTCGAGTGTGGAGGTGTTGCAGCGGTTGTGGCATAGAGTTTTGGAGCCATTCTGGGAATTTTTGGGTGCATTTCTCAAGCGGTGGAAAGGTAGGGAGCTGAGCTTTATCGTTTTTGCATGCCTTTTACGGTGTGTTCTGCATTGTGGGTTTGTTTTCATGCCAGCTCATGTTGACTTATTTCTGACCTCTGGAACAGATTCATTGGTTTTCAATGCATTCCTATGGGAAACCACGTTTCGGTTTACAAATTTTTCGCTATAATGAAAGTCCCGGAGAACGCATTAAATTCGTAAACCGAGGTCCCACTGTATATTGAAATGAACACAGTCTCATTACAATACATATACATAAAATTGTAAACAGTCTTACCAGGAAAATTCACTACAGCATTTACAGGGGCACTGCTAGCCACTGCCACATACGCCAAGTGAGGATATTTCATTCGGTACCATGCTGCTAGAGATCCAGGATAGGAACCTCCGAACACTACCCATTTCCGACCACTCAAACCTAAATCCTGGTTCAGAACAGTTTGAAAGTGAGCAAGGTCTGCCAGGGCCTGTCTGCTGCTAAGGAAGCGAAGATTTTCCAGTTTCATATCGCTGAATGAAAGAAAAATAAGGAAAATGATATCCTAATGGAGTGACCATTTAACACAACCTGAAAAAGACTCACATTTTCAACTAAACATGCTACATTAAATTTTGTAATTTCCAATAATTTCATTGTTGAGGTGGTCATGTTGGAATTATAGGACAATTCTAGTAATTATAGACAATGACTAGTAAAAAGGAAACATGCTATAAAGAACATGGAAAGGCAACAACCAATTATAACCTGCGATTTGCTGACTAGTCGCTGCAAGATGTGCAGGAAATAAGAAAGGTGGAAGATTCAAATGATGCATTGTGCGCAAACATCACGGTCATGATGGAACAGGCCAGTGGTAGGAAACCTTGTGCACTCCAGATGATGTGGACATCATCTCAAATATGTTCTTACCACCAGATTACTGGCAAAGCATCAGGGAGATGTAGTCCACAACATCTGGAGTGTTGAAGGTTGTCAACCCCTGCATTAGGGCTTCGTTAATTAAGGGACCAGCCGGAGGAAAGCGAAGCGCTTAAGGAGGGCACTCTGTCACTCCAATGGCTGGTAGGAAGATCAAAATATCTGCCTGTCCAGCCCAATGCTGCCACCTCCTGTGATGCTGTATGCTCCACTGGGGTCGATCAACGCCAGCCCTCCCTTAGTATCCAGCAATGCTTGGTGAAGCAGAGTGCTGCCATTAAATTAACTAGCCAAAAATCAGATTTGTCCAGGCCACGCAGGAACGGAGGGACATTTACCTGCTGGAGGAGCTGACCAAGCACTCCACTCACAGATTACCTTGCCTTACAAGTGGCCACTCCTTAACTTCCACTAATACAAACAGCTGGTTTAGAGCAGTAAAGAGACCATAAACAAAAAAAACACATCGGCTTATTAACAAAAGTAAGAATTTAAAAGTGAATTTCAAATGTAAAATATTAAAAATAAGGTAAATCGTCAAATTGGAAACCTCTACGTCATAAATGCTTCAGGTGCTACACTGGTGTTAAATTTCAATTACTTTGAATTCTCACTTTAGTGAATAAGTGAACACCCCAAGTGTGCCTCTGAGGGGTATATGCTGGTGGCTATATAATAAACTTGACTAGATAGGGAAGGGAACACCATGGATGGTTATAGGCTTGTAATTGAACTCCCATCATTACCAGCATTGGCAGTCCAATGTTAATGATCGAAACTGGTTAAAGGTTGGTACTGACTGCCAGTCATCACAAAACCACCTGGTATTCAGAAGAGACATGTCACAATCACAAGATATCAAGTTTGTATAAGCTCTCACCTCTAGCTCTGCCACCTAAAGAGGTTCTGCAGGAGCAGGTCTCTACATTCTTCCACTATAAGTGAAGGGGTCGGTATAAGAAATATAGCCGATCCCATCAGTTTCCAAATGCCAGTGGTCTGCCTGCTTCCCACAGGCATAACCTATGGTGCAAAATCGCATGAGAAACCCACTTGATACAAGGGCTTAATTATGATAGCAATGCAGAAGGGGAGGGAATGGGAGAAAAGGAAAGGAGTTTGCTAGAGGCTCCAAGATTTCGGATTGCAGTCCTGGTCACAGTCATTAATATGATGATAGGATTGAGTCTCCTACAACAATATAGTCATTTACGTAGTATAGAAGGGGCTTCATAATTATTTTATTTTTTAAAGGGAAATGATTGATAAAATAGGTTTTCACTAACAGAGCATGAACACAAGTCCGACAGCACAAACCAGAACTGCAAATTCTATGGAGTATTAATGGTTTTTAAATGAGAAAGTAATTTTAGGAAAGCATGCTGCTTTGATTTCAGAATGTGGCAGTCTCCCTCATCTGAGAAAGATTTCAAAGCAACAAACATCCTTTACAAACGCCCTGCATATGGCTATAAGAAACAAGATAGATCGCTATACAGTGTGGTGGAATCTCGGTAAAAATAAATTTAGTAGGCCGAGATTACCACGTGGCATGTGTACGTGCATATGCTGACGTATCGATCAGTTGGTTGCACGAGGCAAGATACGATCAGTAGTATACGGAGCAAGTGCAAGAATACAGGATGTAGTATTCCCCTCCTCCATTGTGCTGGACAAGCCATGCGGCCAAGCAGGAAGTTAATTCTTATTTGTAATGATTGGTCAAGAGAATGTGCGGGTGGAGCTTAATATGGGAGGAGTTATGTGCCTATATAGGGAGCCTGCACTATTGTTCAGGGCTCAGAACTTGCTGTATTTTTGGTGACCTTAGTCCCTCTGAGTCCCGATCGGTGATCCAATAAAGAATCTCTTCCTTCCTGAAGAAACCTGTGTCCATCTCTCTGTGCTTTGCTTCCGTCAGTTTCTCCGGTATCATTTGGTGCATTGGCCGGGAAGCTCATCGTTCAACGGTAGCTGAGAGGCAGAGGCGTGAGACGGTCTATCTTTGCCCACGTTCTCTACGGCTGCACCCCTGAACTTCTGCGTGGACCTCCCTTCGTCTCGGCGCCACTGGTCTGTTGTCCAGGAGATCATCGGCCTCTACGTAAGAAGTGCTGGGGTGTCCCCGTCGATGAGTGTGAACTCAGGTTCAGGAACGAGGAGGTAAGACAACTGCTGTTTTAGACGGCAGACCCACTAGGGGTATACCGATTGTGCGGTAGGCCCAAAAGGGGTTTAAATCTGTGTATGGAATCTGCCCCCTCTGTCGGAGGGAAGGAGCGAAGGCGCACCGCTCGATCGAACGCTCTTTAGTAAGACCGTTTGATCTGGTTAGTCAGGCGGGGTCCTGTGTAAATAGCCCTAGCCGGACACCGGTGTCTTGTCTAGACTAGCGTTCTAGGGTGTATATTACGTTCGCTAGGTCGGAGGGACCGGGAGACTAAGCGGCGCCTGTGTAAATTCGGTTCGCTAGCTCTCAACCTATCTTGGCTAAGTGGGAAGGCGTGTAAATTTGGAACCCACTAGACTTTTGATAGAGTAAATAGACTAGAAGGGCAATTTTGTAAATTTCGCCCTCTAGTTCGCTATATGTGGTGTTTGGGCAGTGTGGCTAACCAAAACGGGTGTATATAGTTTTAGGTAGTCCATTCAAGGTACTGGCCAATAGTTTAGTTGGGATTGTAAATGTGTTAAAGATTGTTAGTAAAGTGTATATCTTGTTAGATAGCGCGAGCTCAGCCGTCTAGCGAGAGTGTTAATAGTGTGTTGCTGTATCATAGTGCACGGTACCATAACCCTGTATATTTACTGACACTGTATATAAGTACTAATCATTGTCGTCTATTGCATGTTTAACACCGTAACCACTAATAATTGTATTGTGACCTTAAATTGTGCTTTGACCTATGCTAACCGTACTGTAACCGATACTAGTAAAAGACGATGTTACTGGGGTGTGTTATAGACGGGTAATTCATATATAGAGAATTATAGCGTGGGTGACTGTATAGTTTCGCCAAAGGGCATAATATTGATTATTTAGTGACTGGTGTAACAGCTGTGTGTGTACGGGAATTCCCTGAGTGATTATTGTGTTATTGTGTACGTTTCACTCGGTAACTGTACCACGTGGTGCTGTTGCCAGAGGAAACGGGTGTGACTGTTGAATAAGAACGCGTGCATAGTATTCGTTGTCAACGACGTTCCATTGATAAGTATGGGCGCGTCAGAGTCAACGATTTCGGATCCCTTAGGTTGTATGGTAAAGAATTTTAAAAAGGGATTCAAAACATGTGATTTTGGGGTTAAAATGTCTCCTGTACGTTTGGTCACTTTGTGCACTAGGAAGTGGCCTATTTTGGTTGCGGCATGGCCGCCGCGTGGCAGTTTGGATCCAACCCTGGTACAGCGTGTACACGTGGCTGTATCAGGTAGGCCTGAACTTTACGGACAGTTTCCATACATTGATTGTTGGGGGCAGGCCGTAAACGACTCGCCAAAATGTATCCGGATATGCCACGAGGAGCAATGTCGCCTCATGGTGGCCAGGACTTGTTTGTCCACTAGGACTGGTGTTAGGCCCATTTTGGACACGCCCCCTGAGTCCGAGATCCCTTTGCCGCCCCCTTACTTTCCTTTAAGAGGAAGTGACGTGAATGCAGGAAGCTCTGCACCCCTTCCCCTATTGCCCCCATCCACTTCCGCTTCCTCCTCCAGTACAGAATCCACCCCCCTCGTATTAAAACTCCCCTTCCGGAACCAGGACCAACCCCCATTAGATTTGAATATCCTGATTTGGCGCCACTTCAAACTTCCGGTCAAGCTTCTTCTAGCTCGGCTCGGAGTATACTATTCACTAACTTTTCCCAAAATCAAGTTCCCCCATCCTCATGCCCTATTACCTCTCGACCGGAACCTTTAACTGACGCCCCTCCACGTAGCCCCATACTAACCCGACAACTGACCGGTACCCAACAATTAAAACATTATCAGATGCCTCTTCGTCTGAATCCTGGGTCAGCCTATATCGATGCCGCAGGTCAAATGGCACATACTGACCCAGTCTTCGTATATGTCCCGTTCACGACTACCGATCTCTTGAATTGGAAGACCCACAATTCCTCGTACACTGAGAAACCACAAGCTATGACCGATCTGTTCACCTCGATAGTTCAGACACATAACCCGACATGGGCTGATTGCCAGCAGTTATTAATGACATTGTTCAATAATGAGGAAAGGACAAGGATTAACCAAGCGGCCATTAAGGCGCTAGAGGAGAGAGCCCGTGCTTTAAATCAAGCCAATCCGGCAGCATGGGCCGCAACACATTACCCTAACACCGATCCTGACTGGAATGTAAATGGCGCAGATATGGCTCAACTTAAAGCCTATAGAGATGCTATAATTGCTGGCATGAAAGCCGGAGGGAAGAAAGCTATTAACATGTCGAAGACAGTTGAGGTGATTCAGAAAAGTGATGAAGCGCCCAGTGTCTTTATGACCGATTATTGGAGGCATACCGCTTGTATACCCCCTTTAATCCGGAAGACGCTGATAATTCCCGAATGGTAAACTCCGCCTTTGTCAGCCAAGCTTACGGAGATATTAAGCGCAAGCTACAGAAATTAGAAGGGTTTGCAGGTATGTCTATCACTCAACTAATGGAGGTAGCGAACAAAGTATATATGAATAGGGAAACAGAAAGTAAGAAAGAGGAAGAGCGCAAGATGCGTAGAAAGGCAGATATGCTAGCGGTAGCGATCGCAGGCGTAGATAGACGGGGCCCAGATAGAGGCGATAGTAGATGGAATAGGGAGCCTTTGAGTAGGAATCAGTGCGCGTACTGTAAGGAAGAAGGGCATTGGAGGAACGAGTGTCCGCAAAGAGAGCAGTATGAGAGAGACTTACCCAGGGCAGGTTACGGAAACTTTAGAGGCAGAGCGAGAGGTAGAGGAGGCCCCGGAGGGAGTAATGGTAATAGAGGGGGTAATGGGAACAGAGGAAGTGTAAGGGAAGATAGGTACTATCCAGCAGCGCAAAGGTCCCGCGATAGAGAAGGTAGGGACTTTGTGGGATTGGCTGACACGGTCGTGGAGGACTATTGATACCGACCGGGCTCCATCCCCCTTGGTCGAGCGGAGCCTATGGTCGATGTATCAATAGGGGGAAAAAGGAGTGCGTTTATGATCGACACTGGTGCTGAACATTCGGTGGTGACTAATCAAGTTGCTCCTCCATCTGGAAGAACTATTACTGTAATAGGAGCAACTGGAAGAAGTGCTGAAAAACCGGTTCTTAAAAGTTGACTCTGTACATTGGGAGGCCACGTAGTAAAACATCAATTCCTTTATATGCCTGAGTGTCCAGTCCAATTGCTGGGGCGTGATATGCTATCCAAATTACAAGCGCAGATTACGTTCCTACCAAATGGAACAACATCCTTAAAGTTTAATGGACCTTCAGGTATTATGACATTGTCCGTACCAAAGGAAGAAGAGTGGCGACTTTATACAGTGTTGACTAGCAAAAACCCGAGGAGTGATGAATCCTTATTTAACATACCAGGAGTTTGGGCAGAGAACAACCCACCAGGACTGGCCCGCAATATTCCACCTATTAAAATCGAACTAAAACTTGGGGTTTATCCAGTAAACCTGAGACAATATCATATTCCGCAGAAGGCTAAGAAGAACATCCAATCTTATCTGGATAAGTTCATACGGTATGGTATCCTAAAATTCTGTACTTCCCCTGGAACACCCCATTGCTGCCTGTTCAAAAGCCCGGTACAGATGAGTATCGACCTGTGCAGGACTTGAGAGCAGTCAATGATGCGGTTGTTAGTATACATTCAGTCGTGCCCAATCCATATAACCTGCTTGCTTTAATTCCGGGCGGGGCTACTTACTTTACAGTCTTAGATCTCAAAGATGCCTTCTTTTACGCATAGTATAATGTATCTCTGAGGTCAGGATCTATCCCAGGGGGTGTGGCCACAATATGTAGATGACTTGTTGATAGCAGCAGTTACAAAGGAGGTATGTCAACATCTTATATTGCTTCGTTCAGTTACATTGCTTACTTTTTTTATAAAACATAAATTCATATTAAAAATATTGATGTTCTAATAATACTCTGAAAAGCTTTGATTTTGAAGGTTCCAAAAACATTTACGTTTTAAATATAAACCGACACATAATGATGCTGTAAATATAATCCTCTGTCTGGTCATGCTTTAGATAGGTTTAGTATGCTGTTGTTGCGTATTGCTAGAGTGAAAGTGTCAGGGACAGTTCAAATTTCCATTATTAATGTAGCTCTTTCCCTTGGCTGGATGTTTAGAGAGCTGGTAAAGAGACTATAGTCACATGAAAAACTACAGTTTAATGTAGTAATTTCGGTGTCTTTAGACTGTCCTTGCGGTGTTAATTCAGAGAAAAGTCAGTGTTTACATTGCTTGCTAGTAACACCTCTAGTGTCAGTCACTAAAATGGACACTAGAGGTGCTTCCTATCACAGTGTGCAGCACTGGCGTTCAGTGTCTCCAAACTCTGCATGGAGACGCTGAACTTTACTCATAGAGATGCATTGTAAATCTCTAATGAATTTGTTGGCGCTTTATAAATAATATTAATAAAAATAATAATGAGGAGATGCTGATTGATGCAGCATGCCGCTTGTCGCACATGTGCAATAGCCTTCCAATGCTTTCCTGTGGGAGATTAGTGGCATGTTTTACTCATGACATGTCTGCCTATACTGTGGATGTAAAAAGAATGATGGAGCCACAACACTCAGTTTATCAAATGAAGATTTATTCCACTATAAAGTGGACCTAGCAACGTTTCAACACATACAGTGTCGTTAAGGATCCAACTAACACCACAATGTTTAAATACCCTCTCACTTATATCAATTAATGCACAAGGCACCACCCAACTTGGGGTAGGTAAACAAGTAGAAAAAAATGAACTCTTTACATGAAAGACATAATAGAAACAACAATTGCAATTCCATAGAATAGAACAAAAAATAAAATGAGAAAAATAATAGTGTTATTACAAAAATACATGCCTAAATTATCACATGTAAATAATAATCATTACAAATGTACTATGCTTAACAAAATCGCAATGCAATATGATTGCATTTCAGAAAATGTTTAAGTTGCTATGTATCAATAGGCTTAAACAGAAGAGAGAAACATCACCCTTAAAGGTACAGGCATATAAAAAAATATACACACACACATAGATACATATATATACATACATACATACATACATGCATGTAAACAACATATACAAACATATATATGACAAACCTTGATGCAATGGGAACATAGGAGATCACAAAAATAAGGGTAGATTGAAATCTCGATTGAGACCTCTTGGCTCCAGACATTCCAGTCTATGGATCCAAAAAGCCTCAGGTTTTTTAAAGTGATTTTTGTCTATCTCCACCCCTGGGATGTGTGGACACAAAATCAATTGCTTGCCATTTCATTTTGGAAACTGCATTATTGTGGGAACAAAACTGTGACTGTGATTGGGGAGTAGCCTTCGAAGCTTGCACCTATACTATACAGGAAGAGTGCTAGAAGTACATATAAAGTGGATTTGTCAGCCTGGTCGCTAGCCAACCAGGACTGCCCATATGCTAAGTGTAACACTATAGCATTAGTAATAGAAACCTGCATTACTAATGCTATAGTGACCCTATTCTTAGTTATTTACCCTAGGAGTTTTAACTAAGTCCTTAGTATGTACAGATACGCTGAAGCAAGTGCGTTGTTTTACACGGGAAATGTGTGAGTGAGACATAAACTGCATATTTACTTAAAGAGTTACTCCAGTGCATGTTGGCATCAGATTACAAATTTGCACCGGATTCACATTAGCCACCCATAACTTTTGTTGGCTACTGAGACCCCAAAGATGCTGCCATAGATGGACTTACACCTCCGGCAGCAGGTGGTTAACTCTTTATGTGCAGTGTTTCATAGTGAAAAGTTATACACACAGACTCCAGGCACCATGTCCACTTCAAAATCAGTGAAATGGTCAAAGTGCTCAGAGTAACCATTCGATGATCTTACCCTTTTTTACGGTAATGGCCCGTGGCCATTACCAGGACCTTTAGCAGCGCTCTCTGCATGGTGTAGTGTGTGGGTCCAGCTTTCAAGCTGTAGTTTAGATTGATGTGCGTTAATGCCAGTCTGACATGCCCCTTAATTGGGCAGGCCCATCCCATTTCACCCCCATATGTCCCAATGATAAAAGGTATGAATAAAAACATCACTGCAGTTATAAGCTTGCACCTTTTATTTCAGACATAAAAAGGAGATTTTACTTCTTCTTTCTCAATACAAGCTACAGAAAGTGCCAGAAACACCTGGGGCTTGAGCCCAAAAAGTAAATGTCAGTTCCCCTACTCTAACAGAGAATTTGGGGTGCGTCATGACATATCTCTGTCTTCCGATGTTATGTCCCATCTGTCTACCCATAATGAGCATGCTGATGATGCTCTCTGGGATCTTAAAGAAAGCATAGCTGGAGACAGGCACACTCTGCACAGCCAGCTATTCAGTGCAATCCCACCAATCTACCTAACTTATAGGAGTAGTGTGCAGCAAAGTTCTTTCCTCACCCGACTGTCATCTGGAAGGCACCACCACCTCTCCTTATGTAGCCGGATGAGGCACTATAATACTATCCTTTTTGTTACAGGTGCGAAATATAAAATGAAAAAAATAATATCCTCCTGCCTTCTCCACAGTCGTATGGCAGCACCTCCTCAAGCTGCCATGGCTTGGGATTCTGCTGTTATGTAACTGTGAACAGGGCTGCGAATAGTATGGGGAACACATGAAAGAAGGATTTGGCTTATGGAGTAAAAGTATTGCACATTAAAAGAAAAACCCAAAAGAAAATGAATATCACAAATCCAGTATAGCTAACTAAAACCTAACCTATGTGTATTATGCAATGTTTCTAATTGCCTTGAGTATCCCTTTAAGACAAGAAAAATCATGTAAATTCTATGCATTTAGCTACCACCAGTGCAGACATTGTTGCAAGGGTTTGACTACTTTGTTATAGGTAATATTTTAACCAACCATGAGACATCTATGAGAAGATAAAATAGATCGGCGGCATCATGTTTGAGAGTTGCTTCACCAATGTTTCTTTCAATATAACAATTATTTGATGAAGCCAGAGGGTTCAAATATTTGACCTATCTTGTATGACGTGTCTAGTCCTTCCATAGTTACAGTTGCTATGGTTTAGAAATGTTTCCAGCAGTACTTCTACAAAATAAAAATACAGTATCAGCGAAAAGCTTTTTTTTTCTTTTTGTATCTTTATCGTTTAATTTCTTCAAAAATTGTACCCACTTTTTTTAAACAGTCTTAAAGAAACACTATACGGGTAAAGAATACAAATATGTATTCCTGACCCTGTAGTGGTAAAAATTCGATTTAGGTTCCTTAACCCTCTCCTTCCCCCTTTAAAGAAAGTAAAAACTCACATTTATTCCATGCTCTTCCAACTTAGTTGAGATCATCGGAATTGATGATCTCAGACAATCTAATGCTTTCCCATAGGAAACTAATGCGCATACACGGAAAAACATTGCACTGTGCCAATTAGCATCTCCTCATAGAGATGCATTGAGTCAATGCATATCTATGGAGAAAGTTAAGCATCACCATGCAGAGCATGGAGA